ACACATACACATATATATTTATATTAATATATATACTAAAAATGACTATATCTACTATGACTATAAAATGAAAAACGATAATTAACATTTGCCAAAAATAATTTTAATTTTTATATTTTTTCTAAAACATATTTAGCCGATGTTTTCCGGTAATATAATATCTATTTGATTTGTATGAAAATTATTTTAAATCAAAATAAAATGTAAAAGAAAACATTACAACTGTAATTTTTGTTATAATATGATAAAAAAAAAAATAAAAAAGATGTTGGGAGATGTGGAAAAAAAAAAATAAAAAAGATGTAGGTGGATGTGGAAGGAGGAAGGCAGATAAGTGAATGAGTGAGTGAATGGTTGAGTGGGATAGTGTGTATGTGCATGTAGAGTACTTTTCCTATAGAGCTAATACTACATGCATCAGTATACAAATTGAGAAATAAGGAAAAAATTATACATTATAAAGATATTCAAAGAAGAGAAAATTAAATCTATCAATTAAATAATTAGAGACAGACGTGTTTAAAAATATATTGTTAGATTATATCATATCTGCATGCTTTACATAAAAATTTAGAAACAGATTTGTGTAAATTTTAGTATCTATTTTCCGATTAAACTTGTATATATAAAAAATATGATGCACATGCGCATTTTTAATTATATACTATTATAGAATAGATAAAAAAATAGATGACTATCGTTTACAGTTTTCTAAAATATCTTATGCATGATCTTTCTTTTTCTTTCTCTCTCTTTCTCGCACGATTGCAAGATCGTAAATATTGAAAACATTCAATCTTTCTTCGCACGTGCGAAATAAAACTAATATCTCATTTAACTCTGCCGAAAGAACTTATATTTCAGTTAAATTATTTTGAGAATGATTACAAATAAATAGTGAAACGGGATATTGATAATATAAAAGATCTCGGTGTAACAAGTCCACTTGCATCTAATATGCTATCGTTAAAAAATTAGTTGAAAAGATAACAGAAATCGCTTCTTACATACAAAATACATAGCAAATGATGCAATACAATTTAAAATCTCGCGTGTGTTTCATATTCAAGAAATATGACATATATACATAGGTGGATATTGACAAATAAACAGAAATATATATATTATACATACACAAACATAAGTTTGCTTTGTTATTTTTACTGTTCTAACAAAAGCGAGAAACGACATTGTCATCTCGCTATGTCTTTTATCGCAACACATATCGAATTTATATAATTATCGCACCCAGACAGTAGGTGGACTACGGACCAGAACCAGGAGCGGATACTATCGAGGTTACAACAAATTAGTATCTGTCAGTGACGGCTGCACAATCGACAAAGTGCCAAGAGATTGTATAGGTATAGCTAAATCATGTAATTTATGCAATATATAAATTTATACATTAATTATACATATACGATTTTAATTAATAGAAACAAATCAAGTTTATAAATAATTATTTCGCATATATAATCATAATTTTTAATATAACATAATGTACAATAAAGTATAAATATAAATATAAATATAAATACAAATATAAACATAAATATAAATATTAAATGTATATAAAAACATTAAAAAAAGATCTTATACTTTATTCTTATAACACGAAAAAAAACAGCGTGTGTCTTTTTAAAAAACCGTAGGTGACATTAAGTTAAATAAATATAAATTCTTTAATAATATAATGTAAAACATTTGACATATGTAAAGTTACTATATATGATTCAATATAATTAATAATAAACTGAAATATTTTATTTTAATATATAAGTCATTTTATTTACATATATAGCTATGTTTCTCCGCGATATCGCTGAAAATTTTAGATTATTTCTCGTGTCTTAAAACTTATACGTGTCCGTACGTTATAATATTCCAGAGTCTCTCGCATTTACTCCCAAATCATAAACTTGGGAATGGCAAATCATGCATAACAGAACATGTACATATACGCATGCACAACTTGACGTTCCTGGAGGCTCGCCCGTGCGAGATATGTTTATCAGCAAGATTGCATAAGAGGGAAGGCTTGACTCTGTCGTTAGCATGATGTATACGTCGATACCGGTTTCATAAGACAAGAGTTCAAATTTTAATAAACATTTAATTTTTTATCGCAGCATTATTTTTGTATATTGCCTTTATCTTTATTTTTTATTCTTGTATGAAATTCATTTAATCTTATGTGTGTTTATACTCTTCTTAAAAATATTTTTGTGCTTTTTACTATATCCTCTAATACATATTATATATATATATATATATATGTATATAAAGAATTCTTATCGCTGGAAAAAAGATATTGCAGTGGTACAAGAAAATAATAAACGCAAGAGAAAAAAACAAGAAAAAGTATAATTAGTATTATATACATATATATTTATTTAAATCACATCTATTTGTATCAAATATATTTTACATATATTTCTCTATACATTTTTCTTCTTCGTTGTGCTAAAACCGCATATCATGTTTGCTTCGTTTTGAAAGCAGAAAGTGCACGCGAAAGGGAAACACATACCTATAGTATAGATAGATAACGTAATACGCAAGATATATAGTTAAATCAGACTAAACAGACAGAAAGAAGAAACAAATGTTTTATTCCTTTTTTTTTCACAATACTTATGAGGATCTTTCACACATTACGTTATATTATATAAATATAAAATAAAAAAGATATGCATTTTTCAATCCATTTTGCATCCATTCTTGCAGATCGTGAACATTATTAATTTGTGTAGCACACATACACATACAATAAATTTTAGATTGTAACAAAAAAATGAAGTAAACACCAACATGCATGAATCAGCTTGTTATTTAGTGATATATCGTCTAACAAATCTAAAGAATTATTTGATATTTTGTTTTGTACATATCGATGTTCTTTGTAAATACCAGATCGGGTCAAAAAATGTTTGTATCGTATGTTGGACCTGACACTTCCAACATTTCCTTTAATCTTTTGTAACTCAGGAACTATAATATGTAGGACATATGTTCACATAACATTTTTAATTGCTTTAGTATGTACAGCCACCTGAAGTATTTGCCGTGCATGTACATACAAGATATCCTGTATATATAGAGTGTATCCAAATTCGTAACTGAAATCTTCGTATAATCAAAAACAGAGAGGAGATTTTTCATGCAAAAATAAAAAAAATGTAAGATATATTTCTTTCACGTAAAGTTTTGTTTTCGTGAAAATTAATTTTGTACACAGATTAAAAAATTAATAACATAATATTTATAGATTTCCACACTCTTGTAATGTGACTTTGTGTTATATGTTTATTAAATTTATCTGCACAGACTATAAATATACGTAAATAATAAAGTACAATATTTTACTTATTATTAGTAAAAATTTAAAATATGTTAGGAGCATTAATGAGACAAATCATGCACACGCGTAAAATATTTTAAAAAAACCTCTTTTATTTTTGTAACGCACATATACAGAATGTTATATTTTTTTATACATATTTGACAGCTAACATTAAGACAAATTCGATATAATCGGTGATATAGTCTTGAAACACAAATATATTATTAATTTTTTAATTTCTTAAGTCAATTGTTTTAAAAATAAACGAAACCTAGTGTAATAAAAATTTATTATACATTTTCGATTTATTTTTGCATGACAAATTACATTTTGTTATTTATAAAATTTTAAATACCTGGTATAATGTTTCAGAGAGAGAAAGAAAAATCTTTTCATCTTTTGTCATCTCTACAAATCTTTTAACTATTTCAGAATCGTTTTTTTCCTTTGTAATAATGTTAGTGTCTTGAAGTTTTGTTGTTTCTAGAAGACCGCATTATCAATCACTTATTAGCGCTGATTAGATTATTTCCAAATACCGACTACGTATTTCTGGATATATTAATAAGTCATTGATAATATGCGGATATCCGAATATTTGTAACCTCAGATAATATGTACAAATTCATACTCTGTTCGTTATCCGAAAACAGTGATGATAATATTATTTATTCAATATATAGAGATAAGCATAAAGAGAGATCACATATATATATACATTTATGCATAAAGACTCGTTAACTTATTTATACAAAAATAAGAAAAGTGCCTAGATTGACAATATTGTATCTTATGTTATTATCTAAATATAAATACATTATTGTAATAAATTTTATTCAAAAAGTGCTTATTCGACAACAAATAAACATTTATGAAACAGTTATACTTATTGTTAGTATACGTTAGAACATTGCTTAATATATATATTTATGATGAAAGAACCCCCTGCGGCGAGTTGAGCAACCGGTTGCAAAACATTATCATGGTCTTTAACCTCATAATAAAGAAGGGAAATCTTCAGAGCTGCATATTTAAAAAACAAATGTGACAAAATATATCATTTCAAAAGCATATTGTGCGAGAAATATTGCGATATCTAATATTCAGTTGGCAAGTTGAGAAAGCATGACTAACTTGTTTTTCTTTTCCTCAATTTTTGAAAAGTTATGTAGCCGCTAATTATATTAATGTTCCAATATATATTATATTTGCTACAGATTAGTTTTAAATAAAAAACACAGAATGATTTTAATAAGCAAAAGGGCAATTAAAATCAAAAGAACAAACAGCCAATCTATCTATTTTGGCTCTACCGTCATGTTGTCTTTTCTATTTCAATGTATTTTGTATTTATCGACCAAAAATAAATAATATGAAACGTTTCAGATAGAAAAAGTGAGATTATAGTGTTATAATAAAAGAGGCGCAACAATATATATAATAATATTAATATTATTAATTATTATTATAATATTATATACAGGGTGTTCCAAGTCAGGTCAATGAAACTTCAGGGTATCGATCATGTAACTTTTCCCTTAGGGCGGAAAAGTGAAAAATTTTGCCATTGATTTCAATGCTAATATTTTTCATTTTTCACGTTTCCGTCCTAGGGAAAAAGTTACATGATCGGTATCCAGAGTCTTATAGGAAATTGAATTTGGAACAAAAAAGTTCCTATAAATATAGGTGCGAAAACGCTTTGTTTTTGGAATATATTATACTTAAACTATATAATATATAGAAGTCTGTGGTTACCGCACAGATACCACTCGTACCGAGGGTTTTGGAACGATCTGTGATAACCAAGATAGAGTTTTGGAACGCACCCCTGAATGTATGTATATTCAACACGCGCATGTGCGAGAAAAAGCGTCTCTGAAAACAGCACCGCATGTATGATTTGGCGGCAACTGGCGACAACGCAAAACGCAATCCCAAACAGAAAAAATATTGTATTCAATTGTGTGCTTCTTAATTGTTTAAAACAAATTAATTTGTAAATATGGGTATTACTGGTTTGCTACCATTCTTAGAAAAGTCTTCTAAAAAGACGAACGTTAGAGAATTTTCCGGTAGTGCTGTCGCGATCGATTCTTATTGTTGGTTACACAAAGGTGTATTTTCTTGTGCTGAGAAATTAATGATGGGACAGACAACAAATGCGTAAGAGCAATTATTATATTATACATGTTGACATATTCTTTAAGATATCAAAGATTAATGGCTTTTTTCCTACATTATAGGTATGTTCTGTATTGTATGAAGTATATAGACATGCTTTTAAAGTATAAAATAAAACCAATCTTGGTATTTGACGGTCGACGATTGCCTGCTAAGGAACACACGGAGATTAAAAGACGACAGTACGTAAGAATAGGCGAATCATTTAAATATTACGAATTTAAGAAATGTTTATAAATTATAATTGTTTTATTTTAAAGTTGCGTTATTTTTAAGTTTAACATCAATTAACGTAACATTTTACCACAATTATTGAACTATTGATAAATAATAATGTGTATTACATTATTTATTAGAAACAGACAAATAAATCGTCAAAAAGCAATCGAGTTAATACAAATGGGTCAAGTTGCAGAGGGAAAAAACTTGTTGAAACGAGCTATAGATATTACTCATGAAATAGCATTAGAATTAATTAAACATTGCCAGAAGGAGAACATTGATTGTATTGTAGCTCCTTATGAGGCAGATGCACAATTAGCATATTTAAATATTAGTGGTATAGCTGATGTTGTTATCACGGAGGATAGTGACCTGACATTATTTGGATGTAAGAAAGTTAGTATATTACATTTGCTCATAATCTATATATATATAACAACTTTACAATCAATTTGATTATTTTCAAAAAAGATACTCATAACAGAATGTTTCATAATTCATTTATTTTTAATGACATATTTTCTGACCAACTTGCACTTGATTTTTGCTTAGAAAAAATAAAACATATATTGCAATGTATATTTCAACATTATACATCTGTAATTAAACTTCAGGGTCTGCTTAAAATTATTTGAAGAATATGGTTTTATTAGTATCATTTAGCTTTTCAAAATTCATAAGCATTTTTTTTCAATCTCATAACTTGAAAACTATAGATATCTTACTAAGAGTTTCCTACTAAAGAAAATTCGATTTTAAGTTTATCAAAAAATTTATTATTGAAAATAAAATCGATAGCTATCAGACATTCTGTGTAATAATTTAATATAAATATAGCTATATATAATACTGTAAAACATAATGCAAATAATACTTATGATCTTTATAGATAAAATTTTTATCAATGATATTTTTATTATTAAAAAATTATCAATCTTTTTCTAAAATTTTTTTAAGGCAAAACAGATGACAGCTTAAACAATTGAGAATTTTGAAATAAATCTCTTTATTAAGAAGAGAAACAATTTTATATTCTGCTTTATATTATAGATATTTTTCAAAATGGATTTTAATGGAAATGGCGTTTTGATTGAGCAAGACCGATTACATTTAGCGATGAATATACAACCGGAGGAGTTTAATATGGATAAATTTCGTTACACTTGTATTTTGTCTGGTTGCGACTATCTCCCTTCACTTCCTGGTATCGGATTGGCAAAAGCGCGAAAATTTATCGCGAGAAATACAGATCATAATATACATAGAGTTAGTTGCTATATAATTTTCAAATTTTAGTAATATAGAACAAAAATAGCTTAACAAGAACCCTATATAAATATTTTTGTAATAACATAGAAAACTATATAACTTATATGGCTTATTTTTTTTCTGCTTTTAATTAATGTTTACATTTTTCTAGGCGTTGACACGTATAGGATCAGTACTCAACATGAAATCGCTGGTTGTAACACAGGAATATAGAGATGCATTTATATTGGCAGATATAACATTCAAACATCAATTAGTGTTCTGTCCATTACAAAGGAAGCAAATAAGATTAAATCCACCCACAGTTGACATTACCGAGGATCAATTACAATATGCCGGTAAAAAATTAGATGCTGATCTTGCTTTGCAATTAGCCCTTGGCAATTGTGATCCATCCACTTTAAAAATAGTTCACGATTTTAATCCAGATAAAATCGTAAGTTGCTATATATATTAATTGCTGTTAAATTATGTTACATTTGCTTTGAAGATAATATGATGTGCAATCAAAATTAGAAGTGTTCCATATCAATATGTATTGTAAATTGTAGGAGCGTAAAAGGAAGCGAGACACAGAAGCAGAACAAACATTGACAATTCACATTAGCATTTGGTCAAGCAAATATAAGTTAAAAACGAAAAATCATGTCTTATTTTCCAAAAATGCAGTAAATTCATCGATTATCGCTAAAAAAGAGATGGCTCTACAAAGAAATCTTTTAAATAATGAACATACTTCATCAGAATTGCATAATAGTATGATTGTGTCATGCAATAGGCTTTCAGAATGTCAGGATTCAAACGAAAATGCTATTTTGGATATGTATAATTCCAGTCAAGATGCTAACCTAATTTCCAGTCCTGAAAAGAAAGCAGAAGAATATTTATGCTTTGCAGAAAATAATACATCACCAGAATTATTTAAATTCAGAAATCCATTTGTTAAACGAGTATCCGATCTCACAACTTCGCCGAGTGTTTTGTCCAACGGAAATTGTCGAAGAAAAGGAAAAAATTTAATGCATATACGACGCACTATCATAAATGAAAATATTATAATAGAAAGCAAATATTTCTCAAAACAAGTTAATGAAAAGCATAATGAATTGGAAAATAAGAAAATTGATGTCGATTTGGAAAATATGGAATGTAATGTAATTCCAGAAACAAGCGACAGTATATGCAATATTAGAGCTAATACTGAACCACTAGGTCAAAAACTAGAAACATTATCTATAGCAGTCCATCCAGAAATTGCAAACTCGGTAAAAGATATCGATGATACAATCTTATCAGATCAAAATGAATATTTGACTAATACTTGTGAAGATGTTTCTGAAAAATCGTACTTTAATTACAACCCAACTGAAATTTCACATTGTACAACAATTGATAAAGATTGTGGTTTAGATGAATTTTTATTATTGAGTTCTAATATGGAAGCTGCTAATAATTCAATTAATTACGGAAATACGAACAATTTGCAAGATAATTTATCCGAATGCTCAAATATTGAAGATCCTCAAATCTCTTCGCAGAAGAAAGAAATTTTCAAAAAACGAAGTTCAGTGAATCTGGTAAATATAGATCTACATAAACAAGTTTCATATGCATCAATAAAAAAAGACATACATGTAGTCATTAATTAATTTTTATTTATGAAATTTATAAAAAAACATTTTTTTATTGCAGGTACCACGAGTTAATTCAATAACGAAAAAAAAACAATTGCGTCAAAATAAACAATTATCATTAGTTTCAAAACAACAAAGTTTATTGAGTATGTATGGATTCCAAAAAAGATAAGGTAAATATAAAAATAATTTTTTAAAATTTTTCATGTATTATATAAACAGTTCCTATAATAAAAGATGGAATACAAAATTTGTAATTTTCTTTGCAGAGGGATTTATGAATACTGACTTAAACAATATTAAACGGGTCATATTCATCATTTTGAGAAAGTCTGGGTGTTTAATCAATATTTTTGTAAGTATCAAGATGTGTTCTTCAAATGCGTCTTAAAATATTGTAAATAGGATTTGACTGTAATTAAGGAGATATAATAGCTGATATGTCATTAATATAAACACATGAGCAACATTTATTTAAAGTAGATTTGAATCATCTATAAATCATACTCAGAGAAATGCAAATTTTATCTCGTTTATTTATCGCTGCACTGCCATATACAAGACTATTAATTAAGTATAACATAAGTATAGCTCTATGAGAGATGTACTTTATCTCTCTTACTTTATATTAGGATTCCTTTGGAATGGTCTGTGATAAAATTTCTTTAGAAAGTTTCTTAAATATCATTATATCATGTGACTCACGAGGTAAAATTATCCTCTTAGAATTTATGTTAGATATGTATGACCTCTAACTGTGAGAAAAAAGGGTTTAGTTTATTTTATATGGAATCAAATACGAAATTGATATAAAAATGATTTGACTATAAAATTGAATATGGCTTATTAAAAATTATAATTCTATATATAGGGAAAGTTATCTTTGTGATCTAAATAGTTGTATTCAGAGAATATTTTAAAGCTCTTAGTTTAATTGTAAAATCTCAAATTATGTACTCAATTAATTATGTGATCGATTAAAATACTCATTACAAATGTTTATGATAGTAACTTAAAATATCTTTCCAAGATTGTAAGCGCGCGTGCGCGCATATATACACACACAATCATTATGTAAAATCTAATATTTAACATTCTTTCAGAAATGGGAATTTTGTAATTTTTATTGTTAGTAATCTTTTTGTTCAGTATTAAGCAAAACAGATTATGCAAAGCTGTAATTATTTGTTTTATTATGTTATCTCTTAATTATCTTATATAATTATTTAGTAAGAATCTATGTAACTAAAGGTGGTCACACAAATATCTCTTGTAAAAACTGATAAAAATTAATTATATATTGCTCATTATGTTAATCGTATACGGACAAATTACAGTAAAAATTTTTTAATTGATAACTAAACCTTTGTATTTTCTGGTTCTTCCCATTGTCTCGGTATTCGAATGTTCTTCCAATTGTCTAGATCCACCTGAAGAAAAAGTACATTATATAGTCTCCATAAACAAATTATAAGGATATCTTTTTTGAATTTATAGAACTATAATTCTATATAACACAAAAGATAATTTTGCATTTGTAATTCCAAATAAAATTATTATTCTCAATATTATTTACTTAGCATTGTGTATATATTCTTAAACTGAAAATAAGTGTATTCTACAATATTTGAATTCTTCAGACACAAATGCATTATGATTAAAAATACTTAAAATAAGAATTTAATATAAATTTTCAGAATAGATTAGTATTTATTAATATTCCTCTGTTTAAATTTTATAATTTTTATAACTGTTTTCCTTCGCCTATCCTTTCAACAAGACATGTCTCGTTTTATTTTGATCAAATAAAATTAAAAGAAACATTTTTTGCACACATTATAAGTTACATTTTCAGAAAACTTGCAACATTAGTGTTTTATTAATCTGTATTACTATCCCAACATGTATACCTTTTCTAATTTCTCGTATTCTTTTTCTAAGGTGATTTCTTCTAATGGTCTTGTCTCGATTCCTTTTTTCTCTAATTCGTCCCGAATTGAATAGTCATTTGTACTTTTATATCTATACCTGTGTATGAAAATTCGCTTAATATCAAAAAAATGTTGTCAGGTAGAAACAGTTTAATAAACGGAATGTCGATGCAAATCTACAAGATTCAGATAATTACCGTAACTCCGTAAATTCTCGAAGGCCAAACGATCCGCCGAGTATAAAAATCATAAACGGTATACCATATTGCCAAATTCTAGATTGTGACATTACTTATTAAATCTATTTGATATTATCGGAAAGAAGATTGCGAGAGATTGTAGTTTACGATCATCTTTCTGATCTTTCTAATTTTAGGTCTGTTCTTTATAGCTGCACTGAGTTCACACGAACTGAACTAGTGCAAGCGAGGACTAGCTAGTGAACAAGTATAAAGAACGCAGTAATTTAATGGCGCATCACATGATATTAAACGAAAAACGAATTATTAGAAAATATATATAATATTAAAT